TAGAGCTTATTTTGTTGGGGCTTGGGATGTTCGCTGGGGGTACGATTCGGATTTTGAAAAGCCCATGGCCAGATTTTGCAGCCAGGTTTTAATTTCTTCTCCGGGAGGAGGTTTTTCTGTGCCAAGCGCGGCCTGTTTTTTTTTTCTTCCTCTTGGGCGGGGGAAGCAAAAGGGTGGCGACCTGACACACACCGGTCCTGCCCAAGTTTTGCGCCCTGCGGTGCCCCTTGAACTTGGGAAAGGGCCAAGCTCCTGGCCGTTCTTCAAAAGTTGGGACCGGTTCTGGGGAAGGCCTCTGTGACACCCATGGCTCAGCAAGTGAGGGAAGCTTTAATGCTATGATGCGGTGTCTCAAGGGTATGTGAAACCTCTCTGGGATTCGTGTTGCTTTTGATTTTTTGCAGTTGAAGGTCAAGTAAACATGGATCAGGTTCAAAGATATTGTTTTTGATTGAGCGCAAAAGCTGAGCTTGAACAGCTGGTTAGTGTTTTTCCTTGGACAATGCATGGATCATTGGCTGCTTCTTTTAGAGAGGCTGAAGTTTGACTTCCTTCAAAAAGCAAACTATTTCATGTGTGCGTATGACTGGCAACTCGCAATACCCACTTTTTTGGGATCCACGGCGGGAGCTTCATGTTTTTGCCAGGAGTTGACCTCATGCCCTAAAAATCAGAAAAATATATGGAGTAGGGCTTATGTTAGGCTTGTTGGAATGTTGCCTGCTGGGGGTGAATTTGTTGCCTCGAGGTCATCAACTCGGCCAGTGGCGTGGCTGCAAGAATTGTGCGGCCGGGATGAGTTTGATGCCCCAGCCCAAGAAATGCCACTTGAGCCAGAATCAAAACCTGGGTAGATGAAGGTTAGTAAGGGGCGGCAGTCTCAGCCAGAAATAGTTGCCGCCGCCTTCTTAATTCTGTACATGGTTTTGGGTAGACCATTTTAATACCGGGTTTTGATTGTGACTCACTTGGGGGAACTTGTGGGTGCGTCTTCTCTTGGGTCCCCCAAAAACGGTTGCTTCCCTTTCGGTTTCCCTGTAAAACGCACCCACAAATCGTTTTGATCGTGCCTCACATGGCAACGTTGCACTTGCTGAACACGGGCACATTCTTTGCGGCAAGTCGCTGTAGCGAATGTCTTGGCCTATGTGGCATGCATTTGTCGCCAGCGCAGTTTTGGGCTTGTTAAGGCGTCTTCTGCAGCTGTGTGCCTTTTGATCTTCGCACCCAAAACTTAGGTAATTGGATTTTCTGACCCCTACCTTTCTGACGCCGGGAAGGCAACCACTACGAAATGCTCGAAGCAAGCAAAGGGGAAGCTGATTGCCCCGAGGCCGAGTATACATGTCCGTGGGTGGCCCTGGAGGTGTCTTACGCAACGAACGTAAGGACACCAGCCACTGTTTGGGCTCCAAACTTCCCGATTTCTATGGCATCCCCCTAAATAGGATTCACTACGAGGTTCCTCTCTAAATTGGGTTCCATGTTCACCTGTAAGGAGTTAACTCATGCTTCCGCTGCCCCCCCACGTTTCGACGAGGACGTTCTTGTGCCTGCGAAAATTTTCTGAGGGCCGAGACCCGGAAAAAAACGCGCCAGCGGGCCAGGTCTCGGTTTCCCCCGGCTAACCTCTGAAGAGGGCACCTTGCAAGGGACGGCGCGAAAAAATTGCCGTGGACGTCTCCTTCTTGCCGTGGGAGGCTTCTTGATCTGAGCCTGCGACATCTTGGTTCTCCGATTTCGGGTCCAGCAGGTTGACCATTTGTTGCTAAGATGAGCGTGTTGACGGGTCAGCTCGAGCGCGTACGTTTGGACACCTAAAGTGAAAGGATCGGGAGTGTCTCGGCCTCGGTGTTTGCACCCGAAGGGCCCGCCATCCAGTTTCAGATGTGCACCAAAAGGATCCCGAAAGAGGGCCCCGGTCATTGGTTGCCCAGTTGGGATCTTCGGCCGCTGGGTGAAGGTAATGTTAACCCCGGTTAACCCCGGATTAATAAACCCGGGTGTCCCCTTTTAGTGACTCTGGGAGGGAACACCCCCCTAATAATGGGACAGGTTTATTAATCCTGGGTCAACATTAGGGCGAAGCTGGCCTCAGATGGGCCAATACCGATTCCGCCGGCGCGTTTCAGGCCGGATGGTCGAGGCGATTTACCTTGCCAACTGGCAGCTCCATGCCACCTCCGCGCATGACAAAGGCAGGGACTGGGCGCGGTTTTGCCGTCAACATGGGTTCTCTAAATGGGGCGGTAATTACCATGCGGTACCCCAAAATGGTTGGTTCCACTTTGGGTTCCCGTGAGTAAATGTAAGCAATGCATGATACATATATTTCAGGAACATTGATAGTGATCATCGCGACAAATGCAAGTATATTGGTTTGAAACATGATTGACTAGCATCCCTTTCTAAAGGAGCCATAGGGATGGTTCATAGGGCTGATTCCCGCGAGAGAGCATAGAGTGTCAGTCGGAACGGTCCTGCGGAGTTTGACCTCTCCAGAAGCAACCCTTCTTGCTGCGAAGCTCAGAACAACAGGCCACAAGGGTAGACGGGTCAGCCAAGTGTTTAAGCCTTATGACAAAGGTCGCAGTTGAAAAGCTGAAAAAGCATTTTTATCATTCTAAGGGGGCAGCAAGCCTTTCCGCAAGTTGAGAGCAATCAACACCTGGGTAGATGAAGGTAGCAAGGGAACAACCAGAAGTAGATGTGGCCGCTCTGGCTCTTTACGTGGTTCTGGATAGACTCCTGTACCCCCTCCTTTGCGGCTTCCCCACGCACAATTTGGTGAACCTCGGAAAGGGTCCCTGTTTTCCCGAGATGCCGCCTAAATGGCATGCCCGCAAGTGGCCAAGTTTGGGTTTGGATTCCGTCCGTCAGATGACTGCCACCTTGCGCAGCTGGCTGACGGCTGAGCCAACTGACCTTGGAAGCTGCGCCAACGCCTGGCGATAGCCATGATGGCAAAGAGCCATGGCCAATACTCATTGCGATCTGCCGACTTTATGGCGAGCTGGGCTGAAAGCAAGCTCACCGTCACGTGGGTCCTTTGCTTGGGAATTTCTTCCTTCTGGTTTGGGAATAGTTGTAGGATCTGCCAACGCTGTACATGGACCAAATCCTGCACCAGTTGGATGATGTTGGATGCATCAATGGATTCCCGATGAATACTGGGATAGGCCACCTACCAACTGGTGCAGGAGCTTGCCCATCCACAGAAACTGGCCGCTAAATTGCAAGTCTTTACCCTTTTTTCCTGATGGGGGACTTTGCAACCACCCCATCCTATTCATTGTAACGACCCTTCATGAAGGTAAGTCATGGCGCAGACGGCAGACGCTTGGATGGTTCTGAAGTCCATTTCGCTCCACCCAAAAATCCTGGAATGATGATTCCCCTGTGACTACCAACCAGCACTGGTTTCCCATGGTTTCAATGTGGTGCAGGATTTGCAGGATTTCATCCATACACGGTTCCAACTTGCGTCAGTTCGGAAGAGGCTTCCACAGAGCTCCCAAATTGTAGGATTGAACGAGTGCGGCCGCTTCCTTTTCCTTTGGGTCACAATGAAAAGGGTCCTCGACCATTTGCTTGGCATTTGGAAGTTGAGTTTTAAGGTAGGGTGTCAGCCCTCGCCTATGGATAGCTTCAATCGGCGTGTTGCTCACTGCCTCCAGCTACTGGCTGTGGCAGGCCGAGCCGAATGCCCCAAAGTGGGCAAGCCGCCAATCTCGGGCGGCCGACCTTTTGACCCTCTCACGGCCAGAGTTGGTGCCCCATACGCGTTATGATGTACTCATTATCCTCTGGTTGCTAAGGGCTAGTGGAATCTCCCAGCAAAAAGGCCATGAACTGAGCGCTATTTTTTAGCCCCAGTGGGATTGGGCCCTTTTGGGGTTGGCCATAGACCTTCGTATCCAAGGCAAACAAAAAGATCACCCAGTATCAATGTGGCGTACCTAGGGGGTGAAAGCGCCATTGCGAGCGTATCTCGGCCCGGTATTTGAAATCATCCAGCCAGCCGCGGCCGGCCGGCCAACCAGCGCCGGGGCACATGGTGGACCCCTTTGAGCTTGGGGAAAGTTAAGGGGGACGTAAACCCCAGCCGTCCGGTGGCATCCCTCTTCTTTCGTCAGGAACCGGGATAGATCTTCACACAGGCGGGCCGATGTTTGCCTATGACTGGCTACGGACCGTGTTGAACTCTTCACTGGGATCCATGTTGATCGGAAGCGAGGTATGCCTTGCTTGGGATCGGTATGGACGTAGACCCTCCAAGAGGGGGTTAGACCAATAGAGGGATTCGTGGCTCACCCGGTCCAGGGAAATGATCAAAGGGCGACCCCGCCAGCCTTGAAGACGCTGCCTTGAGTGCCGTGAGCATGATGCGGGAAGCGCTGGAACCGGCCATACCCGGCCGTTCTTGCCTGGCTGTTGCGTGAGAGGGGGCAACTTTTCACTTCCGGAACTGCTTGATGGCGCGCGCTTGCGCTTGCGCTTGCGCAAGCCATGGCGTTTCCCCAACTTCCATGGATGGGGTTTTCCATGGTCTTCCAACGGCGTTCCGTTTGGTTCCCACGGCAACTTGGCAACTTGGAAAGTGAAGGGAGACGTGGCACGCAAGCCCCAGCTCCCCAGGTCTGCTGAACGGCCGTTCATCGGTGCCCGCAGGCCCCAACGAGCTGTGCTTGAAGAAAAGCCCGGGGGGGAGGGGACACCTTGGGGAGCATTTGGTTGCCATGTGAAACATGGGTTTCCCGTTGTGGTGGTAGTTCGAGGGCTTGTTTTCGGCATGTAGGCTTGGAGGGGCCAGGTTTAGGAAGCCCTCTGTGTAAGACGCTAAGCCCCCAAGAAGATCAGGTGGGGAGGGGGGGGGGACAAAGGCACAACTACCAATCGCATTACCACCACAAAACGGAGTATGAACATGTATCTGCGTGCCGGTTGTTTGCGCTGGTTTAGGTCTCTCGGGCTGTCCTGGCGGTTCTGTTGCTGCTCAGGTTGTGAGCAGCTGCAGGCGCAGAAGGAGCAAGACTGGCTCGCCCGGACCTCCCAGAGGCATTTGCTCGGACCTCCCGGGGCTCGGGGCGTTGGTTGGTGGCAGAGATGCGCGGATTCGGTAGACAAAAGACGCCTTTAAAAGGGGGGCTGGTGCATCAAAGCCATGGTTTTGTTGGTGAGGGCATGTGTTGAACCGGGATCTCTTGTGAAACCATCTTTACATTTTAATGATTTTTCAACTGGCCAGAATCAGAAAGAGAGGTGGCGGCTGCGCGGCTGCACCCGAGGTCCCTTTGAAAGGCCGCCACAAAGAGGTCGCTGGAACCCTTTTCCGACAAACCTGGCTGTGGTTCCCCTTGAGGCACGTTCGGAGGTGAGTTCGTCACCTTTTGGTTGAAAGGCAGGTTTCCTTTGGGGATGTTTTGGGTTGAGCTTTCTTTGCGGAGCAAAAGGAAGCCACAATGAGAAACTGGGCGGAACTTAGTTACTTCCGAAGCCAGGCATGGATACCGTGAAGGAGATGTAGGCCCTAAAATTAATACACTCAATTTTTTCGAGAAGCAGCCACGGGGCGTGGCAACTCGGCCGCTCGGCCTGAGCTGCAGCCAAGTGGGCGGTTTGGCTCAGGGGGCTGAGCCAAGCAACAAAGTGACCATTTGTCAAAGGGTTTCAATCACACAGACGTTGATGGAAAAAAACGAATCAAAACTTGACCAATGTCAAATGCTTTGAAGGGCCTATTGAATTTGGGCTGACAAAGGACGCAGGTGCAGCAGGAGCCGCAGGATGAAACAAGCAGCAGAAAATAGCAGAAACACAAGCTGCCCCATCAGGCGCCGCAGGCCCAACCGCGTCTCATGATAGACAAGAGATGGCAATTGCGAGGTAGGCGTGCAGACGAAATGCAAAACAGGCCGCAACAAAAACAAACACGCCAAGCGACACGACACAAAGACAAACATCCGGAAGCCAGCTGCATCCCATCGGCTTTTCAGCTGAAAACGCTTCGGCTAGCCTTGCAATTTGGCTCTAGCTGCATGCCGCGGCGGCAGGCAAGGGAGGGCAGAGTTCGGGAAGCAAGAAGGGAAAGGCCATCAATGTTCAACTTGACAGGTGCTTGATGTGTGGGTTAATGACCCTTTGGGTTCGTTTGCTTGCTGTGGTTTCATGTCCAACTGCGGGGACTTCATGAAGGCCTTTCTCTCCCTCTTTCAGCTTTCATTCGTTGATTTTGGCAGCGCTTGTTTTGTTCACGGGCCAATGCTGGTCTATCAACAAAGGCTCGAAAGGCACAGTAGTTGCTCCTCCAGTTCAGACTGGAGAACCCAGCGGTTCGCTGTGTTTTTGTGATTGACCTGGGAAGCATATGGGCGGGGACATGAATGGTCCGCGATCCATGGGCCAAGCCGGAATTTTAGGTCAGCCAGGTGTTTGCGCCCAGAAAGCGATGCCACAAGAGAGGGAAAGAGGACGAGACACTCATTTTCCATATCCCTTCGATTTCTTTTTTTGCGGGGGCCTCCTCCCTTCCAAAACCCATAGCACATTTTTCCGACGTTTTCTTTCTTTTTGAGGGGGCTTCCCTTTCAATCCGATCCTGTACCAAAAGAAGGAACGCACCATGGGAGGCTGGGATCTGCCTCCTGGCGCCCGGATGCCAAGTCGGGGGGCAGGGTTGGCAGGAGTGGATGAAAATATGATAGCCTGAAATGGCGAAAAGACCCTCTTGGGGGTTTGTCATTTTTGAGGGTGCCAGGGCCTTTGCTTCTTCCCCTGGTAGGGTTTAGGGACTGCTGGGTGTGGCTTTCTATGGCCCCAAAACGGCAAAAGGACCCTGCGGGCCCCACCTTGAGAGATCCCATTCTAGAAGACCAGAATGGAACTGCAGAAGTGCCACTTTGTACAAGAGTCAGCCTCTGGAAGACTCCATTGAGAATGCGGTATACAGTTGCCGTCCAAGCGGCCAAAGGTGGGGCTATGAAGTTGTTCGAGCCCTTGGCAGATTCAACTTTATTTTCGGGGCGCCTTTTTCTCAACCAGCACCCTGCGATGGCTGCCTTCCCAAATCGATCCGGGGATTTTGTCAATTTTTTTCTCCGGCCCCAAATTCCCAGCCGGCCAGGCTGCTTAGCCCCGCGCTGGATCCGGGCTTTGCTGGCTGGAGCCGAGGCCCGGTGGCTCCTTGGACGGTGATGCTCCATCACACCCCTTATTATTACAATGGAGTTCGGGGAGGGGGGCTTTCGACCCCTAAAGATCTCCAGAAAAATTGGTGAGCCATTGTCTCTTCTGTGGGGAAGACTAGATGCAGCAATTGGGGGGCTCCGGAGTGGCACAAAAGCTCCACCTATCAGGGAAGGTTCAAAAGGAGGGTTGTGGGGGAATCCAAGCCCCAGCCACTTTATTAAGGAGCAGAGGAAAGAGCCAGGGAACGGCGGAAAGACGTATGCCCGAGGGAACAAAGAGCCCAGAGATTGTGCTGGGTTTGTCCACTTGCAACGCTTGGGACATCAACCTTTCATTAGCCGTACTTCAAAGACACCAACCAAATGTCAGTGCCTGATTTAGCACCAGGTTTGTTTGATGGGGGTGAACCTCCTGGAAGAGTCTCATAAAACAGGACCCGTGATGGGGAAGTGGCGATGCATTTAACAATGGTTGGCATCGTGCCTGGAGAGGTCTCCAGTTTTATTTTTTGAGCGACTGTCTTTTTTTCGGGCTTCCAATGGGAATTCCGGAGTCCAGGGCTGCCTGCGCACTTGGCGACTCTTTGGCTTGACCTCCATCCTTCATGTGTCGTCCTTTTGTGGAACACAGTTTCTCCCAACAAAGCCCTCAAAACAGCTTGGCTTTGGATTAAGGGGTTGTAACCCCTGGGAGGTAATTAGCTGGGAATCCGCATGTCCAAACCAGACCAAACCAGCCATGCGGCCGGAAGCCGTGCACCGCGCCAGCTCCGCACTCCCGGAGCAGAGCGGAGCTGGTGCTTTCTCGCCGCGCGGGGTCTGGCGAGGCGCGGGGAGCTCAGGGCGGCGGTCGCTGAGATGAAAGGAAACGGCGACGTCCTTCCGACCCGTCATTACTGGGTTAGTCTTGGGATACATTTACATTTTACCAGTGACTCAAAGGGAAGCAAACAATAGAATATGCATTCTATAACTGGGCCTAAGTCTAATCATGATTATGTCAACTTTAATGCATATACATCCAAAAGTGATATCCAATTGTCACCTAGTACTCGCGAATGTATAGGATACAGAACAGTAGATAGAGATCTCCAGCTTTTTTTTGACCCCAGAAGAAGGCAACCAGTTTGGAGTGGCCTATTGTGAGATGATTGTCGTTGGACCCGTTCGGCCGGCCCATGGTGCTCTGCGCAGTATTTAGATGGCTATGGGGCCCTCAGGTCTGGGCAAAGTCAAATTCCACTATTAAGGGGTATCTCCTGAGAATTCTTTAATCATGTGTGCCAGCAAACGATAACTAGGGTCCAGCAAAACGATGAACAGCGTCCTGGATGAAATTGGCCTGCAAACAAGCTCACCGTGCAACTCTCGAGCGGGTGTATAGCTTGTGGCATTGAGCAGGTCTTGACTTGCAGGATGTTATGTTTGATTTGCTCACTCCCTGAGTTCCTGGACTTTCACCTTTTTGAGAATCAAATTTAGTGGAACATAACAAGTTCGGACTTTCTCTGGGTTTCAGTGCGCATGCTGGGCTGGTTTGTTTGAGAGTTGTTTGAGCCCAGATCCTTGAGTTTGGATGGGCATGGCTCTTCCCTCAACGTTTTGTCGGGTTCGTGGCCTCGCCACCCTGCCAGTGAGAAACACTTCTCACTTGCTAAAAGCAGATTGGCGACCTTTTAACCTTATGGTTATCCCATATACTGCAAATGAATGCAGTCAAGGCCCTAAAAGATTAAGTGCTTACTTCCAAGTCCTTCTGCACAAGTGAATAACAAGCTGAGAACACGTTGTGAGCCAAAGGATGTAGCAACAGACCCTGGCCATCCTCAGGGCAAGCGAACAGGAGGTTCTTTACACGTTTCAAGCGGTTTCAACGGAGAAATCCCAGCCCTGGTGTTCCCGACGCGATGGGAGGTGCAGGTCGATGACTTGGCCGTGGATGGGGATCTGGAAGACGATTGGGGCGTGGAGGACGAGGAGGAGGATGAGGATGAGGACCCTGGCGTTTTCTTCCTGAGTTCTTGGACTGGTCACTTTTCGGGGTTCCATTTTAGTGGTAGACCCCAAAGTTTGGTTACTTTTTTGGGGCCATCTCGGGAAGTGAGCTTTTGTGCCTGACTGGGAGGGTTCAACGGATGATGGCCCCCTCCCCACAGGCCCCCTGGCCGGCAGGTCTCTCACATCAGCCCAGCGGCACCCTTTCTGGAGGATGCGGCGAGCTCGCAGAGATCGGCCTCAGATCTGGCAGGGGTGGTGGGGTGCCTCGTCAAAATGCGGGAAGGCTGGGTTCAATCCAGGGCACCTTTCGCGACAATTTGCATGGAACACCTCCAACCGATTTGCGTGTAGCAGGCAATGCCAGGCTTTGGGTGACATTCTGGAGCACTGATTTGTTGTTGACAGTTGATTAGGTGTTATAAATTGTCCTTGCCTTGTGGTTCATTTGCCATAGAAAATTATCCGTACTCTAGCTACCACGTTGCAGACCGGTACCGCCAGGCCCAATACACACATATATATATATAAATAAATATATATATATATATACATTATGTACAAATGCGCAGCACCAGAAGGCCAACAGGTTTACAGCTTGGGTGAAAGTAGATGGCACAATTCCCCCCCACGTTGGTTTCATTATCCTCTTTACTTATCCACATGCAATGAGTTGTGCCATCTACTTCCGCCTCGGGGTATTCGAATTCCCCACCCCCGGCGCGTAGAGGAGGGTCTCCACCCACTGCCCTTGATTTGTTGCAAGGTGAAAGTTTGGGGGACAGAGGGGTTGAGTCAACTCATGGTTGCTCATACCAAGGATGGCACCAAACCGTAAATGTCTGAGTTCTATGAATAC